CCATCAGTAGCACTGAATATATGGTAGGGGCTTGCCTGTTTGACCCAAAAAGCCATTTATCTGTGTTTCCTGCTCAGTGAGCTGCCATTGGGCTGAAGCAATGAAAGTTCAAAGATATCTTTTGAACTAGGGTAGCAAAGGAGGATTTAAAGCATGGGAACAGAAACAGGCTGGAGAGAACAGACAAGCCAGGAAACAGCTGCTGCTGGCTGAACATCCAGTTATCAGACAGTGCCACTGTGGCATCACTGCCTGTCTTCCCAGTTTACTCAAAAATCACCTTCTGCCATTTCAGAGAGGACACCTTTATTCTGCTTGTGTCAGGCTGGACAATAAATTCTGCAGATGAGAGCATATATAATTCGGAGTGAGGATATACTTAATATGTCAGTAACAGGAAGGCTGCCAGTGAAATAGTTTGGGGTTTTTTTCCTTAAAAAAAGCCAAACAAACAACAAATAAAAATAAAATAAAAATGAAATAAAAAAAAAACTGAAACATTACAAAATGTTTCATACATCAATACATGCACACATAAGGGAAGAAATTCATTAATGACATAACTGAAATGTGGCTGATTGATAGACTTCTATAGAAGTAAGAATGTGGTCTGTGAATGTGGAAACCCACCAATACATACATTCAGGAACAAATTCATCCTTGACATAACTAAAACATGGCTGAGAGGCCTCTGCAGAGGTAAGAACATGGCCTGGGAGGTGTGCACAGCCCTGCTCACCTCGGTGAAGAAGCCCGCGATTCCTGCCTGGCACGAGCCGTGCTCCTCCCCGTACTTCTTCTTGTACTCTGGAGGAGAGAAGGGAAGAAGACAAACCATGGTCATCCCCGGCACGACACATGCTCTCCACTGAGCTGTCTGCAGGGCTACAAGCACAGCCTGGAGAGGCAACAGCACGCAGGGCTCCAGGATTTTATCAATGGGTGTCCCACCACTGTGCACCATGGCAGCACCCCCATGTGCACCGGGGGGTAAAGCAAGGGGCCTGAGACTGTGGGGAGATGCTAATCGAGCAGTGTCACAGGAACATGACAACTGCACCATCACCACCTCAGTAAAGGGCCATCAGAACAGGTTCCACCTCTGGCAGCCAGATCAGCAAAGGAAGAGAGGAGCAAAAGGTGCTGCACATGCCCGCATGCCACAGACCCTGCTCTAGGAGCTGGAATCCTCAGACCCATTATTACCTCAGAGGAATAAAGTGATTTTCCTCTGCAATGGCTCTCACTAAAGCCCCATAAACATTACTGGTAGAGGGGTGGTTCAGGACAGCAGCCCCAGGAGGGTGGGGGGTGAGTGAGGAGAGGGCACTAAGTTTCTAAGTGATCAGACAACAGTCTTGTTTGAGGGATGCTCAGGTCTGCTCCCTTCCACAGCTCAAAGCTCCCAAGCAGCACCACTACAGCTTTTGTTTCTATATTTTATGTACTAATTGTGTCCTCTATCAAACCTGAGGAATTTTTACTTTATCTTTTTGAAGAAGGTGAAGAAAACATTTACAGAAATAACATTAAGTTCAGCAGAAGGTGGTGGGAAGAGGCCAGGGGAAAAAAAAAAAAAGAAAATCACTTTCCACCCTGCCTTAATCCAAATATTTTCATCTGAAACTTAGATCTGGATCAGAACCTTTGCAGGTTTTTTCCAGAGCATTATTTTCAAATATTTATCATGCTAATGAAGGCCCAGCTTCAGCATATTGCCACTTTCTGTATATTCCAGTAATTCAGGCTCCAAAACCACCCACCATATATCCTGGTAACTGTATGTTATTTATTTATGTTATTTTCTAAGTAAGCACCATTAACTCATTGCTAAATTATAAAAATTTTAATGACATCAATTAGCAAATAGCCTCTCTGAAACCAAGCAAGTGCCTTCTGAGTTGCAATTTATCTTATTAAACATGAAAAGGAATTAATTATAACCTGCTTCCTTCTCACAGGATCTTTTCAAAACACTGTATGTGTATATATACATAGACACCCCTTGTTGCCTCTTTATATATTATATATAGTCTCTTCCTAATATCATAAAGGTGCTCAGATGTTAAGGAATTTGCTGAGGTCACACCAGTTGCACAAGGGGAGGTTTAACTGAAGGGACCACGCAGGACATTGACTTGAACCACACATGACAGCCCAAATGCCTATGCCCTTGGCCAAGGCAGGGTGCTGCCAGAGCAGATTGGTGTCCCTGCAGACCAGGAGGGCCAGAGGCATGCTTGGGTTTCCCAGTGGGAATGCAGGACAACAATTCCACTGAGAAATGAAGCCTGTATTTGCTCATGACTATTCAGAAAATGCTGAGGCTCTGAATCACTACATCTCCACATAGAGACTCTCATAGAGCCAGGCACTCCTTGCCTGGAAAAAACAATATTTGTTTATTGATATGAGCATTTTTTTATTTGGAGAGCTGAGGAGATGAGGTTTCTCCCTCTGGCATTTCCTGAAAGCTAATGCTGTGCAGGTCCTGAAGGCTTTGCCTCTGCTCCAGCTGGATTCCCACCCTCGCCTACGGTGAAACCCAGCAAGTTCCATGCCCACCCCCTTCAGATGCTTCCACTTCCAGCCAAGGTTTCCCTTTTTCATGAGGTACTGAAGTGTGAACAGATCTTGCCTCTTCCCAATTTTGCACTTGATCTACTGTAACAGAAACAAAACGCTGCCAGCCACTGTGGACCTGGAGGTCTGGATTTATCCTCCTGCCTTACCCACTAAAGTTGGCAGGAGGCTTTTGAAAGGCTGGAGCTCAAGGCTTTAAAGACTGCCTTCTTAAATGCAACTTTACAGGACTTTTTTTTTTTGAATGGAGGGCTAGAAAGGCTCAGGCTGATGTTTAAAATTGCATTATGTTTGGCTCATGGTTTCTTTAAATGTCTCCTTCAAAAAAAAATACGCTGTTCAATTTGCTTTAAAATAAAAGAGGAAAATTTCCATGGGATATTTAATTTGCACAAGTAAAATATTTAGGTCAGGCAAGTAAGGACATACTGTTAACAAGGAATAGCAGCAGATTTAGCAAGGAACAAGGCAGTTATTGAAGGGTGGTTGATGGATCCTTAGCTTCGTGGGCTTGTGTTTAACAAACACACAAAATTGCTTTATTTCTTAGGATAAACAGAGGATTTTCCTCTGATAAAACAATACATGTACAAAAATTAAACCATTTCTCCAATCAAGTCAAAAAGCTTATTGAATTCACAGTACTGTATTACTATAAATTTTGCCAGCTTTAAAAGAAGAGACACCAAATGCAGATATAGGAATAACCTGAAACAAAAGACCAAACATCAGAAGACACAACATAGTTCATTTTCATCAGCAACATTAGAAAAGGAATAGAAAAACACACACATTATACTTTTCATTGTAAAGCAACAACAACCAAGAAATACTCTTTAAACTCAAGGAATGAGAAAGATTGAAATGGTTGTACAATGAACTGAGTTGGTACATCCACTGAAGCCCACACTTCTACAGACATTGTGGATTTATGTGATGTTGGATGGTTTTTATGTCACCTGCATTGCCAGTCCTATCTGCTTGATCTAATGGCCCTACTCTTCACTTCAATAACTAGTTATGTTTTGGTTGTAACAGTGGGTAAATAGGATGGCAGCATTTCAAGTGAATTCAGAGTTTGGATATAATCAGTGCTTCTGTGAACTGAAGAAAAGACATCAAAACATTTTAACTTAATAAATACCTGACAATACTTCCCAGGGAAAAATTTAGAGCTTCCAGAAAAAGAATAAATGGATGCATTACAGTACTGCAGTATGACACAGCAATGAGGCACAGCAATGACCATCCTTCCTCCCTGCAGGTATCAAGCCTCCATCCTATCATTATAGGATCTGAGCATATCACAAATACCCATCAATCTCTGCTCCTAACACCTTTGAGAGAGGAAAGAGCTTTAGTGACATTCTGAAAGAAAAAAAATGGAAGCAGAGAACCCCAAACACCCCAGATATTGAGGCTATTTGATCATTTAAAGCTTTACTGACACAGCTCACAGCTTCTGCACACCTGAGTAACAACATTGGCATGAGGCTACAGAAATTGCATCCAGTGGATTTGGTGGTTTCCATGTAGCCCCAGGCAATAACTGCTGTCCTGAACAGATCCCTTTGTTTCTAGATTTCTTTATTGTTCCTTGTCTGCCCACAGACTGCTGTGCACCCCCAACTACATGGACCACAAGCCACTGAAGTAACTCCTGTGGCAACAGCTGAGAGCAAAGCAGTAGGACAAGGCTGAGTCTGGAAGAGGTGGCTGCCTCTGCAACTTTGAAGACGTGCCATGAAAAAAAAATAAGCAAAAATGAGAAGATGTAAGTGGTCGTGGGTAGCCACAACATCTCAAGTTATAACAGAAGTAAGGCTGAGGAAGAAGTAATTGGATAAAACAATAAGCAAACAAAAAGGATAAGCTGTGACATGTGAGAATTCTGAAGGCAAATGCTCCTGAACTTCTTCTCTGAGCAAGCCTCTCTAAATGTCTCCAAGCAAATTTCAATGCCATAACAGCACAAGCTCCAGAGTGCAATAAAATCCTGTCTCTACCATCTCCACACATGGAAAGAAAGTGGGTAGTTACAGTAAACTATCATTTTTGCTGGAAGCCTCCTCCTGTCTTACAGGGCTTCACTACACTAGGAAGTAACAGTAGTAATCTTTCTGACCAAGCATTGTGGTATTGGGCTTGCACCACAAAGCAGGGATGTTTTGATGGCTCTCAGAAACCCAAATGTGGTCTGGACCCTATGGGAAAACTTGCTGATCCCTCCAGAGGCAAGGCATGTGAGCATCTGCTCTCCCCCTTATTTACTAACCAAAGGGTCCTTCAGACCTCCCCACGTCCACCACCAGCTCCTACCACAGAGGAGCAGGACACCATCCCAGCTTTCCCCATCAGCTGTGCTTCTCACAGTAGACATGGCCACCATCCTTCTTTGCAAACTGGATGCATTGGGGGAATGAAGAGTCAGCTGCCTTTTTTTTGGAAGGCTATTAAAACTACGGGAAAAATTAACCAAGTGAAAGCACTGCCTGGAAGGCTGTGGCTCCACACACCAGCTGTATGGGGAAGGATATCCAGCTCATATAAACCAGATTAGCTCCTGCTCAGAGATTGCATTTAACTATTAGCCTTGCTGCTGTTCCCATTAGCTCTCAATCACTTCCAGACTTCTGTCAGCCCTTTCAGGGAAGCTGGACAAAAATAAGATGGATTGAGACTACTACCATACAATTAGGAAATTTCCACTTCCTCCTTTGTCTTGAATTATTAAGCCTGCTCTATGTGGAGAGAAAACACACTGTATGCATTAAGTACGTCTGTCCCAAGGTCAGACTCCTCTCCCTTTCTGGCACAAGACTTTTGTTATACAGACAAACCAACTACCTCAAGGAGCACACACAGAGATGGGTGGATGCTGATGTGCACTCAACTGGCCTGCAGCCTTTGCCAGCTCTGGTTGTGAACCATGCAGCCACACCAGCCTCTCATGGGGCTTTCCACCTTAGCTGTCCTAATGATGGGGCTTCTGGAAACGAGCATGTACCTGCCTGGACCCATGCACACCTGGCAAGTCTTGGAGAAGACAAAGCCATTGGGACCTCAGCAGGCAAAGGGGCACTCCCCAGTGCTAGGACTTGCAGCCACAGGTCTGGAAGCCCCCCCAGCAACGGCCACAGATGCTGCACTATATACCATGCTCATTATCCCCATCAGACTGCTGCTTCTCCCCTTTGGACTGTTCTTCAGCATCAGTGGGGGAGAATTTCTTCTGCTGCTTCCAGAAAGGGAAGGAAAAACACTGCTACAAGGATGACTGCAACCTCATTTCACAGCACATCTCACACAACGAATCCCTTTGCAGGACATACCACAGCTATCTCTCCTTTGGAGCTTGTTTTATTGAAACCTAAAAGATCCACCCAAAACGCAGCCATCCCCCGTGACACTTGGTGATTTCATGTCTGATGGGGGGAAACCAGTCCCAAACCTCCAATTTTCACTCTAGCATGGAGTGAAATGAAGCCAGCATCGTACTGCACCGGCCCTGCCAACTTTCCACTGGCTGCTCTGTGTGTCCTAGGCCCACACATGTCTATTTTCTAGCAATTCCTGGCAAATATCCTGTCAGATTAGCAGCTCTTCTACTCCGAAGACATGACGCACAGAAAAACACAAGAGGTTCTTCTCTTCCAAAACCACCCCCTGGCCATGGCTTCAGGGGAGACACTTTTAAGGCAGCCCAGAAGCAGTGACACAGGCTTGGAGGGAGCCCCAGAAGTCTTTCTGCACGTGCACCTTGACCAAAAAGTTAATATCAGAGGATCTGCCTCAGTGTGAGGCCTTACCCTGATTTTGCTGACAGGAGCAAGGGGGAAAAAAAGAAGCCAAACAGTAGGAGGGTGCTCATGACAGGAAGGTTTGCATAGTTTATTTGCAACCTGCTGCAAAGCAGGTGGCATTGCTGGGTCAAGAGACTCAGAACCCCTCACATTTCAAATAATGACCAGTTTGGGGTCTGGGAGGTGCTTAGTGCATGACTGTGTGCCAGCTCCAGAAGGTGCATGGGTTTGTGGTAGCAGCTCCCTGAGAAAAGCCCCAAGGGAGGTGAGGAGCTGCCTCAGAAGAAAGAGTGAGCACAGAGTAGACAGTTCTGGCACAGAGCTTGCTGCACTGGCCACTGAAGTAGGACATGGACATTTGTCAGCAACAGCAAAACACTCCAGAACATCCACCACCTTATCCTTCTCCACCAATGTCAGCAACTAGCCTGCCACTGGCTGCTCCCAACTTTGGGCAGGGGGAGAAATGAGTAAAAGCAAATAAATGAATAAAAACAAATACATAAATAAAATCAGAGATCTTGTCCACAACAAACCCTGTTGCTTCTTGGTCTCCAAACTCCCATGCTGCCTTAGGTTCCTACAAGTGAGAGTGGAAAGATGGTGCCCAGGACAGGAGAAACCAAGAAAGTGCTTTCCTCAGATGTTTCTCCAAAGGCCAAGTAATCTTAAGAGATACCCATCTTCCTCCTAACCACACAATCATGCCTCTGGTTTGGTTAATGGCTCTTGGCCGAGAAGATGCTCTCTTCAGAAGTCTTTAGGAAAGGAAACAGGATGCAAGAGTCTCACATGCACCAAAGAGCTGGAAAATTAAAACATTGATGCTTTGGATTTTGAACAGAACCAATAGGCACAGCCACCCACTGCTCAAAGCTGGAGCCCTCCCTCTCCATGCACCCCAAATCCAGAGTTTGAGGATCCAAAACACCTTATGGCACCCAAAACACCTTATGGCACCCAAAACACAGCAGCAGTTCAATACAAACTCCTGCACAAGTCCCCCAAAGTGGGCAAGGTGTTAAGCAGCCTTTTCTTCCCCCCTCTATAGTCCTCTGACAAATCACAACACAAAAATGAAAGTGTTTCCATAAGACAAGCAAACTGTGGCACAGCAAGTCACAGGATCCCTTGGGTCATTGATCTTCATCCAAAACCCAACCACTAACCCAGCTGTGTGTGTTACCACAAAAACAAAAAAAATGTCAGTAGTGAGGGTGACTGTGGATGGTTTGGGAAATAAAGGGAAAAGAGCAGCTGTAAAATGAGAGTGCAGCAAGGGGGGTGAGCCCCACTGCCAGCCCCCTCACTGCTTACCTTCATAGCAGGGCAGGAGCTTCCTCCCCTTGGGCTGCAGGTTGGGGGGGATGATGTTGCAGAAGCCATGGGGCAGGATGTACTCTGTCTCGTAGTAGATGTTCTTCCAGCGGTGTGCACATGCCTGAACAGATCATACCACCTGTGTTACTGACCCAGAGCCACAGGACAGCCCTCCAGCCAAGGCTGAGCAGGACCTCTCAGCAACACCTGCCCCCACAACCCCTTGTCCTCCCCCTACATCCCACTCTTTCTAGGTGAAGTATCTTCTCACTGTTGTCTTCTGCAGCTCATGACACTGCCTGACCTGGCAGCTCAGATCTCAGCCTCCATGTCTACATGACAACAGGTCTCAGAGCAAGACAGAGACCCTGCTGGAGATTTCAAGATCACTCACTGTGTATGAATCCTCAGGGCCCTTGAAGCTTTTCTACCTGAAGATGCACCAACAGAACCCAGTCAAGCCAGAAAAGGGGAGAAAAACAGGCACAAAGACTTTGCAAATGCACATAAGAGGATCAGAACAGATGCTAAGACTCAAAAGGTTACTTCTGGTGACAGAAGAGGTGGGTCTTGCTTACTGGTAATGAATTTAGTGAAAATGGCAGAGAATTTCTGGCAACATCTTACCCTGCAGAACCAAAGCTACATCAGTCTCACCAGGACACTTGCTCCGTTCAACTGCCACACATAGGCACACACACAAGCAACGTGGAGCCTGCTTCACACCTTCCCAGAACCCCTCTGCTCCAAAGATTAACAGTGTATTGCTGCCAGACAAGCCACAAGTTGCCTGATGCTCAGGGGTTACTTGGAATAAGAGGAAATGAAACGTGGAACAGCAAGGGCTTTGAACTCGAGCACACGCCAGGACGTATCTCCAGCTGGCCCAAGTCACTGAAGTCACCATAGCTGTGACAATTTATGTCACTTAAGGCTTGGTCCCATGTGAACAGAGCAGCCTCCGTTCTACAAATCATCTCCTCTTCTGGGAAGCTGCATCAGTCCCCTTCATGACCCCCACATTTGACCCTATCCTCCCCAGGTGGGCCACCCTCTGTCCTCCTTCCCTGTGTGCCACCCCACTGTTCTGCCTCAGCACCCCAGAGCTGCCCATGGGAGCATCCTGACACCATTAAAAACACACACGGGTAAGACAGGCACAGCTGTCCCACCTACCCAGTAAAGGACCTGGGAAGCTCATCAACCACTGGGAAGCTCAAAATTTGGTCCAGCAGCTAACACAGGTCCCTTCCCATACACTTAACCCCAGAAAGACCTATGAGAGTACAGAGTACAGCACCCTAAAGACATGTGCCATTAAAGTGACAGTCAAGTCCACCCCAACTCCGGATATAAACTCAAACAGGCACAGGCCAAGAGTATTTTTTAAAATTATGGGAAGATAAATAAAGGATTGTGATACTGTAAATTCCTTGACGTTATATATCTCGGGAACTGCGAGGGACTCACATAAATTAACCAGCTAATCTCTCCCAGAGGAGCAGAGAGGATAGAGGAGGAGAGAGCAGCAGCATTTCATCACGAGCAGGAGGCTTTGCTCAGGAGTGAGGTGCAGAGGCCAAGGAAGATAGAACAATATAAGGAGGAAAAAAAAAACCAGGAGCTGCTTTTACATTCAAAAGCAACTGGAGGCCATGGGCTCAGTTTAGATGTTCTGGGCACACTTACCTCATCTGTTAGGGTTTGGGTTTTGCCTCTGTTTTTTTTTAATGATTACTTTTCTGCCCCTTCATCACCCTGTGGATTGAGGGGTGCTACAGATCACCAGTGACTGCCTGAGCCTGTGGACAGCTCATAACCGTAGCTCCAAGAGACAAGTTCCACCTCAATTATCTCAGCAGGGGCTCCCCCAGACTCCCCCACCCCACAGCTGCAGAATTTGACATTTTCCCAACAAACAGGAGTTCAGCAGCTCCTCTTCCTCCCTGAAACTCATTCCTTTGCAGCCAGCCAACCAGTACATTTGTCTTCCTGCCACAGAAAATCTCCTTCACAGCTGCTTTTGGTTCTTTTGCCTTCCCAAAAATCATATAATGCTTAGGGCTGGAAAGGACCTTTAAATGTCATCTAGCCCAACCCCTCTTCAGTGAGCAGGGACAGATGTTTAGCAGGGACCACATACTGTAATCAAACATTGCTCAGGCAAGGTCATGTGCTACCAAAGGTGGCTACAGCCTTCCTCCTTCAATGGCACACACCTAAAGAGGTCAGGTGAACAGAGATGAATCATCTGAATTTGATGCTGTGGAGAGGGTTTTTCTGTGGGTTATTTCTCCTAAGGTGATGGCAAACAACTGACAGCTTACACGTCCTTTCTTAGACACAAGCCATAGGCAAGTCCTTGTGCAACGAGGAACCATCAGCTGGCACATTCTGGTGCTCAGCAGCTGCTGCTGGGGCATGGACTCCAGTGCTGCCATGGAACAGGGAAGAAAGGATGCAAATGCCTGAAGCAACCCTTGAGGTCACATCTCAAATATGGTGTTTGGTTCTGAGCCCCTCACTACAAGAAGGATACTGAGGTGCTGAAGTGTGTTCAAAGAAGAGCAACAAAGTTGGTGAGGAGTCTAGAGAACAAGACTTACAAGGAGCAGCTGAGGGAACTGGGATTGTTTAGCATGGAGAAAAGGAGGCTCAGGGGAGAACTTCTCACCCTCTGCAACCCCCTGAAATGAGGTTGTAGCCAGGTGGCAGTTGGTCTCTTCTCCCTGGTAAAAGGTGATAGGACAAGAGGAAACAGCCTCAAGTTGCACCAGGGGATGTTTAGGTTGGACATTAGGAAAAATTTCTTCACTGGAAGGGTTGTTAAGCTCTGGAACATGCTGCCCAGGGCAGTGGTGGAGCTCCCATCCCTGGAGGGATTTAAAAGACATGTAGATGTGGTGCTGAGGGACGTGGTTTAGTGGTGACTTGGCCGTGCAGGGTTAACAGCTGGACTCTGTGATCTCAAAGGTCTTTTCCACACTAAACGACTCAATAATTCTATGAAAAGAAAAGGCTTCTGGGCAAAGCACACAGAGGTCTCTGCTGATGGCAGACACAGCATCCCTGAAAGACAATGAACAGGCCATTCCAGAACCACAGCCACTCCACTCTGTTGTGCACTGCACACCAGCCATGGGCTTTGCACTGTAGGAGAAGCAACAGCAGGGACCCAGGCTTCACTTCAGAGGCTGAGTGTCCCACCCAAATGCATGGTCCTTACAGAGCACTCTGCTGGCTCCCGAAGTCAGAGTCCAAGCCAGGGACTCGAGCAACCTGCTGCTGCCAGCCCAATTCTGGTTTGCCCTCCCCTCAGAGGACTTTGGCTTTGCTGCAGTGATGAGGTTTCTTACAGACACGCACAACACCACTAAATGTGCCTGTAAGGCAACTACTTAAAATGAAAAGTAGCAACAGTTGATAAAAACCACAGACTAATGACAGACGTGGCAGGTATTTAGGAAGAACAACTCTGAAGGATGATGGCTTATTTCCAAATCATAATGCACTGTCCCTGGTTCCTCTCTCACCAAAAGCAATAGGAGGACTTTTGCCATTTCAGCTGGGCAAGAGCTGCCCATCTCAGCTCTATTATTGCAGCCCTTGGATTAATGCAAATATTGACTGATAGCATACCCAAGGACAGGAAGCCACCAAACAGCAAAGTCAGAGCTTTCTTAGCTAATCTTACTTCTTCATTTATTTAAATCCTCATTCTTTGATGCTCTTCTACTTAAATCCATCACACAAACAAAACTCTGATTCAGTAACATGCTGGCACAACATGGGCTCAAACACAACCCACTTTTCTCCAAATTTCAGCTAAAGCCCCTGTGCACACTCCTCACCTTCCCCACAGCCCTTTCCACTGGAGTTGGCACTCTTACCAGGCAGTTGGGGAAGGCTGATAAGACAGAAATTGAGGCCACTGAGCAGTTTCAAAGCAAAAGCAACAACTTCCTTGTACCATCCACAGTTAAACTGTGGGAGCAATTCCTCAAACACAGGATGTCAAGGGCACAAATAGTTCACATGGGTTTAAAAAGGGACTACCTGTATTTATGTAAAAAATACCCATCCAGGGCTACTGACCACAAAGATACCTCTTAAAGGAGTTCCTGGAAGAGGTTAAGTAATGCCTGATAATATAGACTGCACACTCCTAAATGCAGGGAATCCCTCAGGAGAGTCAGCTATTAATTTTGTTAAAAAGCTAAAAATTTGCAGATTCAGCCATGAACACTCAGACATGTCTTCTCAGAACAACAGTTCCTCGTAAGAGTTTCAGAGAAGTGCCACATTCTAAAGAAAACTGATCTTTAAAATCAGAAGAGCACACGTATTAAAAGCCATCTGCTTATGGGAGAGCACTTGCCACATACATTGTGCACAACATTTGGTTGCCATTTTCTTTTTTCTGGTTGCCATTCCTGCAGCCAGGCTTGCTCCAGGAGACAGTGAGAACCCAACCATAGATGGAGGCGTTCAAAAAAACATGTAGATGTGGCACCTGGGGACATGGTTTAATGGTAGTGTTTGGTGATGGACTTGATGATCTTAGATGTCTTTTCCAACCTTAATGATTCCATGTAAACACAAGTACTGATCACAATATGCCCACGTATTTCAAAAAGCTTTTTGCCCAGCTCTCTTTATGATTATTTTTCCCAACACAGGAAATGTTTTGCAAAGATGAACTCCTCATCCCAAGGATCACATCTGCTCTCCTTGACCTGTCAATGTGCACGGTAACCATATCAAAGCCAACAAGGCCACCCACATACAACTAAGCCATCTGTACTGACAACTCTTCTGCCTTGTTAATGGAAAATTAGGCTACATAAAGGGGAAAAAAAAATATCACCACAAAGACTCATCTTACATTTTTCACTGTAAGTTCTGCCATGAAATATGTTCTCTCAAGGAAAACGGAGGCGTATATATTCCCTACAAAAACACAGGCAAACGACAAGAAAGAACAAACTGGCAGGTACCTCCCAGACAAAGTTCTATTTGTTCGGTTCAAAGATTTAATCCTTCAGATTTAGGAGGAAGCCCTTGGGTGACACAAGTCAGGTGTGACAGCTTTGAAGTCTTCCCTCTATAAATAAAGCTTTCTGGCTGGAGCTCACTTTCCCTTCCGCTCGAAGGAAGGGACTACAGGATTTGCTGCCTGCAAAGCTGGGCTCTGTCAGTCACTGCCAAACACATTAATCCTGACGTGTTTAGCATCAGAGTCAGACAGCAGCAACGGTCTGAAGGAGATCAAAGCAAAGAGTGGACTTACCAGCACACTTCCACCAGCCTTTGGCTGCCTAGCCAGGCTCACGCCCATCCATTCATCATCCCTGTCTTCTTTGCAGGTCTTGCCACAGAGCGCGCCCCGAGAATTGCCTGCAGAAGGAGGGGAGAGGCAGCAAGGCAAGAAGACATGAGTTCTAGATGCTCACCAAAGAATCCCTACAAGAGACGGGATTGCCCATCAAATACCTGCCTGACAGTGCTTTACTTTTCCCTTTTTGCAGGTCTTGCCACAGAGCGCGCCCCGAGAATTGCCTGCAGAAGGAGGGGAGAGGCAGCAAGGCAAGGAGACATGAGTTCTAGATGCCCACCAAAGAATCCCTACAAGACATCATCAAATACCTGCTTGACGGTGCTTTTCCTTTCCCTTTCAAACTGATTGTTAGTCCTTCCATGCATTAATCAGGGTGATGCTCTCTTGCTAAGCACTACACAAATACACAGTAGAGAACAGACCCTGCCCTAAACAGCCAGCAGCTCTTACAGCTTGTCCACAGCTCTACTTGAACAAACCATCCAGCTGAAGTCAACTGGAGAGATGTTAGATTGCCCACAGAATGCAATCAAAGCAAAAATCACTCTTGAAAATGAGATCTGGGGCTCTTAAAAAAAAAAAATTGAGGCCTAAATCTTTAATCCTGCCGGGCAATATTCACAGCTCCATGAAAGACAGTTTATATTACAGCAGCAGGACAAGTCAAACTTAGCCAAAATGTGTAAGCTTCACAAAAATAAATTCTAGTCACAAAAATATGAACAATACTAACATGCCTTTTTCATAGGCAGAGAAAGTAGTAACATGCACATCACCATGAAAATCAAAACATTAAAAGGCTTCAATTTGCTCCATCAAAATCCAGCACAAGGTCTTAGATCAGAGCCTTACTTTAGGATTCCACCTTCCCCCAGGTCAGACAGTACATTAGAGAATGCAGAGTTCACCCTGAACACGTGCAATAGCCTACAAGCACAGCTCACACCAGGAAATTCACTTCAGTTAGCACAAAAAGCAAACCCAAGGAGTGATTTCCTGCATTACAAGGGAACCCACAGATGGCCAGGTTGGTAACACCACCACACACCACAGACCCACCACCGCATCACCCGAGGTCATCCCACGCACCCTCAGCAGTGCTCCAGGCAACTCAAACCCCACCGAGGCACTGCCAAGTCACACTGGGGCAGGTGGAGAAAAGACAGTGACTCAGGGTAAGCATGGAAAACCCACCTTTGCCTGGTTACTTGCTGGAAAGAGCGAGCAAGGACACTGGGAGGACACCAGCACCTACTTTATAATGCTCAAGAGAGTATAACACCTTTGCTGCTGGTGCTCAGTATCCATCAGGAGAGGCTGATGAATCCCTCTCAGTGTTCTGGTGCCTCCCTGAAGCTGGCAGGAGGATCACGAGCCGTTTAGATTGGTTTGGGATTTTTCATTTGTTTTTCCCCTCCATCTCCCACCCCAAGCATCGTAACTACCTACCTCGACCCATATCTAGTTCTGTGCATCTTCTGTCAGGATTGGTATGGACTCGACATTTAAACACTGCTCCTGGGGACTGAACAGAGGTGCTGTATTTAGATTCTGCCTTGGGAGCACCAACCAAGACCCTGGAAACCAAAAGCAAAGTAACAAGTGATTAATTTCACAGGAAAAGGAAAAAAAATAACAAACAACAGCATGAGCTGCCTCAGCAGAAGGACTTTCTCCAGCAACCTTGTAAACTGATGACATTGACTCACAAACTGAAAACATCACACACAGTAAAGGCATTTTTCTCCAGTGAAGCCACAACTAGTTTGATTTCCATTAGGATTGTAACACATTTAAAGCATGACCCCATCCCCAAAAGCATTTAGGAAAGCTTTGGGACAGACAAGAGCAGCTGCATCCATTTTTCCTCAGTTTTAACTATACCCCTATCAACCCAAGAACCCACAAGATCTAGTGCACACACCCATGAGAGGATGAAATCTGAACCTGTGTGCTTGCCAGCCAGCCAAAGATTAATAAGCTTGTTTAAAAAGTTGAGGCGCCCTGTTCTCAGAACACTTTAGGTAGCTACAGCTTGAAAAAAATAACAACAAAAACACCCAACCAACAACACAGGAGCAAACCTCCTGCAGCACAGGTTGCTATCAACCACTGTCTGTCACTCAGGCTGTGGAGACTACACCCGGGCTGTTTATCTCCTGTGAGAGCTGGGGGCTCTGGGAGCCACCAAGGCACAAGCTCTGACCATAGGGTTCCTCAACCATCTTCCTCACCTGGCTGTGAGCCCAGCTTTGGGCACGTGAGGATGAGGAGGGAGGTTAAGCAGGAGGAAGGCAGCTCCAGGGAAGTGCTGGGAGCACCAGGTAGTTCAGTATCAGGTTTGCCAGCACCCCTGCACCGTGAGGCAGGGCAGAGCTTCTGCCTGCAACAAAATCCTCACTGAAGTTCAGCCCGGGACTGGAACCAAGGACAACCACCTCTAAAAAGAGTCCAGCACTCACATCTGTGGATCCAGCCAGCCCGCTACTTGGGAGGCAGCAGCTGACCAAGGAGACACTGTTATTGCTTTGCCCACTAAAGGGAAAAAGAGCTAGTGGTGCAAAGTCAGTCTGCGTGCCCAGCCCACCCACAGCACCAACAGGCAGCCCAGCACAAGCCCCCAAATAGGAGCTTTCTCCATTTTAAACAACTTCTTCATCCTCCAATTTAAAGTCCCATCCCCAACTACCACCCATCACCACCACCCCAACAAACACAGGGAGACCCGAGGCACAAAGCATGCACGTGTGCAGGGTCAACCTGAGCCACCTGGGAGAGCAGCTCCTGCATCAGAGTCTGGTCTGCACCAAACAGCCACCCCCTACACGCTTCCCTGGATGCAACACAACTGTCCCAAAAAGAAGAGAAACCCCTAACACCAAGTGACCATTTTCCCCAAAGTTTCACGAGCTGAGCTGCATCACTCAGAGAAGTTTGGGGCTGCACTCTACAACGCCCATCATGTTTTCACAAGTGAGAAGAATTAACGGCTGAAATACTTAAGTTGCTAAAATCTACAAAGCCTGCACACATTAGGGAGCGAGCTCAGAGGAGCCTGAAATCATAGCTCCAAGTGGAAATCCCACCAGGCAGAAAATCAAATGCCAATCACTGCACTTCCACAGGCGATGAATGCGTGTCATTCACTTATTGACATTCATGAGGTCTAACAAAAATAAACAAGGGGGATATTACCAGCTTAAAGAGTTAGGGGTTCAAATTGCAAATGGCAAGAAACTGTTTCTTTGACCTGTTATAACAATAAAATAACGTGGGCCACACTGACCTCCAGTTTAAAAGAAGCTTTGCTCTAACCTAAGAAAAGTCATTAGTGCAGCAGGCAGCTTGGGTTGCAGAACGCAAGATGGAGATGAAGGAGCCTGAATCACAAAGACTCTGCAGCTCTCTTTAAAAAGCTGAATAGGAAAAATTGATAATTAATGATCTGAGTAGGCTACTGGCACAGAGAATATTGCTGTCTTGAGCAAATACACCTTTCAAAAAGAAAACCTGTTGCCATTTCTCCCTGTGGACTGAGCAGAAGGAAGCAGCCAGGAAAGACAACTGGTGACGTGTGCCAAAAGCAAATTTTTTTAGGTTGTCCTGAATGTCCACACATTCAAAACTGATGTTTCAACTACATCACACACTGTGTCATCTTAGGATCTTGTCTCATCCTTTCACTCTTACACCTAGACCTCAGCAGGTGAGACCTTCGCAGATCTCCCGTCCCTTCTGACATGGCCCATGCTCTGGTCATCTTCAGGAGATGGGAAGTTTTCTGACAGTTCACACGCATTTTGGTTGATCAAGTTGGTGTCTGCCACATACCACTTAGTCCAGTTTTATTCAAAGGTTTGAGGCTGGAGTATTTCCTTTGTTGAGAGTCCTTTCCTCATTCACTAGTTTCTGTAGGCAACAGCTTAGCTGTCAGAAGAAAGTCACCTATTGAACATTCCTGAGCCTTTGGAGGAGACCTGGATAGGAGACTCACTCACATCCAAATATCCTGGGACTCATCCAGCAAAACAAACACCTGCTTTGCATCTCCCCTACCTATTAAAACACCTTTGAAATGTTTTGTAATTTCTCTGGAAGGATGGTGCAACCAGAGAAGGTGTTTATCGAGCCAGAAACACATTTCAAAACAAGAGAGTCAGACAGTCTCCAGCAGTACAACCCATATCCTCTTGCTATTATCAGGCAACCTTCCAATATATTCCAACTAACTTAACCAGCTCTTGTTTAACATAGCCTAATTCTGTGGTAGTTTTCCAGTGCTGCTATAGGACTACTTAGGTTGTCAGCAAGGCAGCACCAGCAGTTCTCCAGCCTTTTGCCAAAAAGATTTGCAGAGATCATCCATGAGTGCCAGCTACACCACAACTGTACAGCTCTGCAGGAATCCCCTAAGATATTTGTGAGTAGCTGCATGAAGACACCTGGAAGGGGAAATCCCATCACGAGGAAGGGATTCTTTCCCTTGTGAAAAGAACCGAGGGCAGTAGGAGTGGGGGTTGGGGCCATTTTAGGGCCACTTTTGCTTGATGTGCACAGAGCTCTGTGAGCCAGCTACCGGGGTCTAAACTGACACGAGGAGCAGTAGGTAGAGAGGCCACTTAACCTTCTCTTCTTGCACTCACACTCACAGGATCAAAGGGAAATGCTCCCATCCCTATGGAGACAACTACACAGCTTCGTGGCCAGAAACCACCACGCTGCAGCAGCCAATCTTAATGGATGACAAGAAGCCTTTTTGGCCACGCAGACATCCACACCTCCTTAAAATTACTTCCTGCAGAACGGTAACTATCTCTTTGGTGGTGATTGACCCTTGGGACACACAGATTTGGAAATTAAGTGCTGCATTTAGCAGAAAGAAGAGTGAACTAACATGTCAAGCTGACTGACCTCGTGGAGAGATGCCAAGCACACGAAGCAGCAGCCTGCAGCATGCCAGCAGTGATGGGGCAACCACAGCTCAAGGGCTGGGGAGTGGAGGTACCTCACCTCACTGCAATGTTAAGTGGCAAAGAAAAAAAAATGTCTTGAAATATCCTCACATACCACAGCGGATTTCAAAAGCAGCACCAGAGGAAGGTGCACCACCAGCATAACCCAGCTGAGCTTCTCCCCTGCTGAAAGGTCTCTGTCACTGTCTAAGCCCTCGAAATGAAAACCCCTGTGGTTCACTCACTATGTGCAAAGCAAGAAGCTGGAAGGCTGTTATTTGGGTAGCAAATGGATGACCTGTGACCACCAAGAGCAAGCCCAGGTTCCTCCAAACACCACGGCAGCACCTACAGCATCACCACAGCATTGACACAGCACGGCATCACTAACACAACACCCAGCCTCCACGGGGCCAGGCTGTCCCCACATCTTCCTTCTGGTTGCACCCAAGTACCTCATGCACCAACAGCACATATCCATCAGCCCAAGGTGCAGAACAACCTTTGTTATTTCAGCAGCAGCACAGTCCAGGGAAGATCCAAAGGCGTGAAGGAGCAGCACAGAAACCAGACTCATTCCTTATTGTAACACTCACAGCAGGACACCACGCAGCTGAACTGACTCTATTGCTTCTCCATCCCAGATCATATTGCCAGAAAGGATAAAGCTGTTACCCTGGACTTGCCGAGGGATTTTGGGGTGTCAGCAAGAAGGAGGCACAGGGAGGGGAAAGGAGAGAGGTAAAGTAACAGTTTTAGAAAAAAAAAAAAACAGGTCTACAATGTCACATTAACATTTTTTTTTCAGTGGGGCAAAATTGGCATTTGATTCTTCAACTGTCTGAAGGAAAGCAGAGAGAGCAGCATTCTTGGTCGCTTTGTAGGGTCTTTACTCCAAGCTTCAAAATTATATCCAGAGAACAGAAGCACTTTGGCTTGTCTCTGCTCCAAATGCAAGCAGCCACCTGGTTCTTTACTCGACTGAAAATGGCAACGATGGAGAACTGGGTAAATCTTTCAAGATTTACAGTCATAAAACCCACTTAAGGAAGGAAAAGGAGACTTTGTCAGAAATGCAATAACCCCAGCACATCTGTGATGAGAAACTTTTCTTCAGATGAAAACAGCTCAAAACCAGCTCCTAAAAGGAAGCGTCGTTACAATTAACTATTTCAAGCAGGTCAAAGGCACTGACTTACTCCACTGTCACAGTGGAGGCTGAAAACTCCTATTCCACTACAACCCTGTGTGCAGGGCTGCGTGGCAGCCTGGCTACTCCCATTCATCCAATGCAATATTTCAAATCAGATATTCCCCCTTTTTCTCTCTTCCTGTGAGAATATTTGGCTCATATAAATCCTCGAGAATGATCAAACCCTGAATTGGTTTCCTGGAAACCTGCAGGACTATGGCTGATAATGGGTGGGTGCCTTTGTGGTGCTGGAAACCACCCAGCTGGAACACTGAACCTGAAGAGCTGGCCACTACAGATACAGTTTTAATACAAAACGGTGACTCCAGACACACACACACATAGACACACATTTACACACAAGAATAGGCTACTGAGAGTAACACACTCCAGCTAAGAAGCTCTCATGATCAGAAGTACACTAGGTGAAGAG